CGAGATCGCCGGATTCATCGAGATCGCCGGATTCATCGAGATCGCCGGATTCATCGACAGGTTCTTAAACAATCAATTTACTTCCCTTCAACCTCCTTAGCAACAACTGAAAAATTGTACAATTTTTAAAGCTTCAAAAGACCCCTCGAAATTGTACGCACTAATAGAGGCGTCTGGCAATTTGCGTGATGAGAAGCATGCAAAACTTGGCAAAACTCCCACCGCTAAGTATTCCGTGTTCAAGTTAATGGCACAGCGAACTATATGATGGATACCCAGGGATGTTGAGGATGAAAAACTCCCAATTAGGAACCAGGGTCAGGAGGAATCGGAAACGCACCAAGAAATCGTTAGGCGGTTTAGCGAGGAATTCAATAGTCGTTGTACCATTTCTCAGCGCCAAGCAACCAAGAAGTTCGGATATACACTCTTCACAAGCTGCTGAATCTCATGGATCAGTTGCAGAAGGGACAAGAGCATGGTTTGAGCGGGGGTCACAGACACTGCCACGGGGACTCCTCCACCTAGGAACTAGGTCTGAGGGCAAAAGGGGCATTTATCAGTAAGAAACTGGTGCAAGCGCTGCAACGGCTGCGCGAATTTCGACGGAAAGGGAAAATACTACACATCTTATAGTTGGAATGGGCAAGGCTCGAGATGCTATTTGAATGAGGTGGCGGATGCGTTTGTGGTGTCAATGTTACTGACTTGGGACAATTGTAGCCATGCCCTTGGCCAACAAAAAAAAAGGATGAGAGTTGCCTCGAGCAGGAAAATCTCGGGAAAAGCGCATCGCAGAGCGCGTTCAATAAAGTGCGCAGCCACGCCTACTCCATCCCGAGGTATGGGCGTATAAGAGGCCCTTAGGCATCCCTCTTGGACGGTTGAACCTACATGTGATGGTTCCTCGAGTTGGGAGCTCTATGAGCATTCAAAAAGCGCTAGGATCCCAGCTAATCCGTTGAATGCATACCGATTTCATTGGATGAGATCCACCATATACTAG